TTTCTTTTCTAGCCCACTTGTGGAAAAATGCTTATCAATTTGCCCATATGTGAGCAAAAGTTGTTTGGAAAGTTCGAAATCATTTGTTTCGAGAATTTTTATATTAACAATAAATTTCTGTAGCTAGTTTTGCATATTCACTGATCTGCCCTTGAGCATGGAGAGTCCAGATATGTTCCCGTTGTACTGGTGACTTTTGTAATGTTTTCATGTAACAGAATTTGTGACATTTTATATTCCCCATTTGTTATTCATTTGATTGTCTAAAAATGTTGGCTAGACATTGAAAATTGATTTTGAAATGATATTTGACAATTTTGGCAAAATATACATTGTGAAGGAAGAACATGCACCTTTTCCTTCCAAACAATTACATCACACTCCACCATTGTATTGAATTTACTGAATTTTTCCCATAATACCAAGCAGTAAAGGAAAAGGAAAGACTGCTGGATCCGAAGCATTTCAATAAGGCCAAATTCTAAAATTCTGAAAAATTTGTGGTTCTTGACAGCTGATTATGCAAGTCCATACTTTTTTTTTGTCTTGTGGTGGTGTTGGGAGGGATAAAAATCCAGCACCATTTTATTAAATAAGAAATTGTAATATGTCTTTGTTGAAATATGTTGCTTGAAATATGATCAAACATAATTCAAATATTAGTAAGTTGTAAGTTTTATTCACCAAATCAATTAAATAAAAGGTTCAAATTGTTACATCTTTGCATGAGCCCTGATGCAGGTACATGTATTAATAACTTTTGCCTATATTCTTAAATTGGAACATACAAATATTTTAAATGAATATACATACATGAATGGAAATTTGTTTTGGTGTAGATATATGATTTCCAAAGATTCAAAAAGTCGTAAAGCAAAAAAGGCAAAAAAAAAAAAAAAAAAAGCATAACATCTGTCTGTACATAAAAACTGGTGCACAATGTTTTACACCTGTCACTGCAGAATTACTGAGGTAACAAATTTAACAGATGAATATTCAACACTGGAGGATCAGAGAGGCAATACTGCCTACAGGTATTGTACCACCAGCTGGAGTAATTAAGTGCATTGGTATGGAAAACCAAAACAAAAAAAAAGGGGGGGGGGAGGGACACCACCTCTAGTGCTGACAAGCTCTACAAAATGCAAAAGTTCTCTTTTTTTGTTGAAAATCACAATTTATAACAAAATCATGGGGAAAAATAAAATGTCAGTCCAAATTTATGAAATGTGATTTCTAATTTGATCTCTTTCCTATTATTACTGACCAATCATGCACTTCACATAATTAGATCATGAAAGAGCATCTATATATATATATATATATATAGAATACATGTATAAGAAAGCCAACAAGAACTTAACGGCAGTACTAATTCATCCGCTGTCTCATCAATCTTTTGCAATTGTTTTATATTTCTTTTCTACACACATGAAACTCAAAGCTTGCACGTCAATGTGTCACGTGCAATTAAATTTTGTTGAGACATATTTCAAGAAAAAGCTCCATTAGAATGCACATCACCACGTTCACTTCTGCTGATCGAAGTTCAAGGCACTTCTACTTCCCTGTTGAAGATATTTATTGACATAAGCAATATCTATGATGACAAATATTTCATGATTTTCCTCTGTGTTGTGAACTAAGATATCATTACAGGTAAACTCTCACTGTAGTACACTGAAGATTCTCTTAGATATCTATGATGACAAATATTTCATGTTTTTCCTGTGTCATGAACTATTTTTATTATCACTACAGGTAAACTCTCACTGTAGTACCCTGTAGATTCTCTTAGATATCTATGATGACAAATATTTCATGTTTTTCCTCTGTGTCATGAACTATGATAACACTACAGGTAAACTCTCACTGTAGTACACTGAAGATTCTCTTACATGGTAGATATTTATGATGACAAATATTTCATGATTTTCCTCTGTGTCATGAACTAAGATATCACTACAGGTAAATTCTCACTGTAGTACCCTGAAGATTCTCTTAGATATCTATGATGACAAATATTTCATGATTTTCCTCTGTGTCATGAACTAAGATATCACTACAGGTAAATTCTCACTGTAGTACCTTGAAGATTCTCTTAGATATCTATGATGACAAATATTTCATGTTTTTCCTCTGTGTCATGAACTAAGATATCACTACAGGTAAACTCTCACTGTAGTACACTGAAGATTCTCTTACATGGTAGATATTTATGATGACAAATATTTCATGATTTTCCTCTGTGTCATGAACTAAGATATCACTACAGGTAAATTCTCACTGTAGTACCCTGAAGATTCTCTTAGATATCTATGATGACAAATATTTCATGTTTTTCCTCTGTGTCATGAACTAAGATATCACTACAGGTAAACTCTCACTGTAGTACACTGAAGATTCTCTTACATGGTAGATATTTATGATGACAAATATTTCATGATTTTCCTCTGTGTCATGAACTAAGATATCACTACAGGTAAATTCTCACTGTAGTACCCTGAAGATTCTCTTAGATATCTATGATGACAAATATTTCATGATTTTCCTCTGTGTCATGAACTAAGATATCACTACAGGTAAACTCTCACTGTAGTACCCTGAAGATTCTCTTACATGGTAGATATTTATGATGACAAATATTTCATGATTTTCCTCTGTGTCGTGAACTAAGATATCACTACAGGTAAATTCTCACTGTAGTACCCTGAAGATTCTCTTAGATATCTATGATGACAAATATTTCATGTTTTTCCTCTGTGTCATGAACTAAGATATCACTACAGGTAAACTCCCACTGTAGTACCCTGTAGATTCTCTTAGATATCTCTGATGACAAATATTTCATGTTTTTCCTCTGTGTCATGAACTATGATAACATTACAGGTAAACTCTCACTGTAGTACACTGAAGATTCTCTTAGATATCTATGATGACAAATATTTCATGTTTTTCCTCTGTGTCATGAACTATGATAACACTACAGGTAAACTCTCACTGTAGTACCCTGAAGATTCTCTTACATGGTAGATATTTATGATGACAAATATTTCATGATTTTCCTCTGTGTCATGAACTAAGATATCACTACAGGTAAATTCTCACTGTAGTACCCTGAAGATTCTCTTACATGGTAGATATTTATGATGACAAATATTTCATGATTTTCCTCTGTGTCGTGAACTAAGATATCACTACAGGTAAACTCTCACTGTAGTACACTGAAGATTCTCTTAGATATCTATGATGACAAATATTTCATGTTTTTCCTCTGTGTTGTGAACTTGCATGTTGCTATAGGTGATGGCCTTGACCTCTGTCCCCTGGGGATGCTTGTCAAGGTCAAACTCTTCTCCATACCTGACAACAAAGAGCATGAGATACTGGATATGAACATGATAAAAGTCACCTGTCTTTCTTATTATTTTTTGTCCACCTCAGCAGTAAAATAATAAAGATATGAAATCAAGATATTAAAAAAAAACACACATAGTACAATGTACTACAGAAAGGGACCATTCCCAGACCCTATCGTACTAACTGTGGATCGATCTTTCTCCAATGCAATTCTTGCTAAATTGCAATCTACTTAAGCTGCTTAAATGTCTGTGACAGCCATGCCTACTGAATCTGCTAGGAAGTAATTAATTTTCATTTAACAGCTTCAGTAAGTGTGCTAGCAAGAAACCCCTTGGAGATGGATCGATCCTGTTACATCGGTCTACGTATGGGAACCCAGTCAAAGAAATTATAATTGGGCTGAGCAGACTCTTAATCAGTACATGTTCTAGGGCCAGAGTGGCCCTGACCAGCCCACCAGACATAACTAATAAAATGTCAGGGAAATGGCCTCCATTACTATGGTATACTTGGCCATACACCATACACTGTTATAACAATCCTCCCAAAATTAACTGAAAACTGGATGCTTTTAGTACTATCCGGCAGCATACTGTACCTTGTCAAATGACTGCCAATGAAGGCACCTGTTCCAACCAATTTATCAAAACAACCAATCAAACTCCATGTTACAAATACACAACTCTTCCTCTCCTCTTACCCGACTGCTTTTATCCTAAAATTTTCTTCGTCAAATTCAGTTATTTTTATTTTCTGGAAAGAAGATATTAAACATTTAGCATGAATAAAGACAATTTGTTTACTAGTACACTGATATTTATTCATAACTTTCAAAATATTTCTCCAGAGATGACTCGAATATATCATAAAGAACGTATTACATATTATATATCATTTTTACCATTTTATACTCTGTTTTATCTTTCTGCATGAAGTAAGAGTTTTGGAAGATGGGTTTTTGAATGCCTACTTTGGGAAAATATAATGAAATAAGATACATAGTTTTTACTTAATAAACAATAACAAACAATTCAAGACTTGTTCTGGAATGTCACCCCTCAACTCACTCTAGCTATAAAAAATGGCTCTGCAGAGAAGAGAAAGAGCCACTCATCCAAGAAGTGAAACAACAGGCTTTCTATATCTTCACCTGAAATATATACCAATATAATAGCATGACAAAAGAAGTGAAACAACAGACTTTCCATATCTTCACTTGAAATATATACCAATGTATAATAGCATGACAAAAATAATACACCTTTGATCTTCACTGATCTACAGAATAATTCAGTCATCACATAATCTTAATTAAAAGAATGAAATGGTCTTATTAATGGCCACACACTATCCAAAAACTGTTTTTCCATGTTGTCAAGCCAGGTAAGTCGCCCAAAAGATGATAAACTTAATTAAAAGATTAAAATAGTGTTTAATATGCATGCTATGCATTATCTTGAAACTGACCGCAAATTGTCTTTTATGTTGTCAAGTCAGGGCATTCAACCAAAAGATGATGAAAAATTAACAACATACAAGAGGGGCTCAGATTTGGTCTACACTCATATCAGAAATCTGGCACTACAGTGTAATTTCTTCAAGTTTTTATTTTTCTGTGTGGTTGTTCCTTATCCTGTGCCTCTATACACTGCATATACAGAAAATATACGAGAGTCACAAAACTACCCTACACAGAGATCTGGTTTTTATTTTCTGTACAGTCATTCCTTACCTTGTGCTTCTATAGATTGCTTGTCTAGCATTTCAACATATTCTATTTCTGTCATATAACCAAACATCGCCATGGCAACCTGAATTAAAGAATGATTTATATGAGAGGTTCAATTTATCAAAGTCACAAACGAGCTGTGGATTACACTCAGTCAAATATTTAATTAACAATATCAGCTGGGATTAAGTTGGTTGAGGCATCAGCTTGACACGTGAATTATCAAAATGTGAGAAATCAATAAATACTGAAGATCTTTGAAGGACTTTGGTTTCACCCTCTTCAGCATATTCTAACATATATGAACTTATTTGGTGGGTGATAAAAGCTCCCTAACTCCTCCCTCTGTACTGCCTTACCTGTTCAAATGCCTCCTTGATGTCATCTCCCCAAGAGTGAAGCCTAAAATAAACAAAATAAACAACATTAAGGAATATTAACTGTATGTGAAACACTTATTAAGTTAACTTTATGTTTTAACATAAAAAATGCAGTGCTAGCTGGTCTGCACTTATCATAAAATTGCAGCACAAATCAAGTTAATAGAAGTGGGTAACTATAAGAACCAGAGCTTCAGAAATTAGTTCTTCATCAAAATTTAAATCCGTTACTGCTTTTTAAAATATATACCCAATACTGTCTACCAAATATTAGGCTTCATTCACATGCAATGTCTATTTTCTTAATTTTATTTTCTATTCGCGGTATGTCTTATGATCACGGTCTGTGCCCTGAATATCCCGCGGCGTAATTACTTGCAGCGCAAGCCAGTTACTATAAGTTACTTTAAATAACTGGCTCGCGCTGCCAGTAATTACGCCGCGGGATATTCAGGGCACAGACCATGATCATAAGATACCGAGAATAGAAAATAGATTTTTAGACAATAGACTTTCCATGTGAACGAAGCCTTAGTGTGAGATTGTACGTAATATTAAGAAAATGGGTGGAAAACTGACTGTGACATATACTTACTGGACATCTGCAGTGTGGTCCAAGTCTGAAAAAAATTGGACACAATATTAGTCATTACCTCTACTACTACAGTACTATATAATGTTAACGTTTATACTTCGTTAGACTCACTTTGTTAACTTTCACTCAGTCTAAATTTATGGTTATAAATGTTTGCCAACACAGCACATGTTACCATGTACCTAATAATTTACTTGAGTTTTATAAATATATACTACCAAAAATCCTAATGTGTACAGAAGCAATATCAGGCATAGTTGCCACATTCTCAAAGCTCACAGTGAACAACTTTTTAAAAGTAACACTCTCGGCAGAGAGAGGGGGCATTAACTGAACTTGTCGCGATCGAGTGATCGGCCTACATGCTAAACGTGGGACCGTGGCCTAACATTGATCGTTTCTTGTTCCTTGTGTGGAACTTCTCTGGGTTGTCATTCAAACAACAGTAAGCCAGTTAATAAACTGTACTCACATTCATACTTCACTTCAGCCGGCGGTTTTTGAAATTCTGGGTCGTCTTGATCCCCCTCCATCTTGGGATTTCCCTTGTATTTGTATCACGTGGTAGGTTGTGTCCAATCACAGGCGAGGGAATCCCCTTGGTAAAATGGCGGTCTCGTTGAGTGAGTCTTTTTCTAGTTACGACGGAGAAGAAGACGCGATTATTCGCATTCAGGTGAGCGAGGATCGACTGTTACGTGCAAACTGAATGTTTTATGTCAGTAGCGTCTCCACAGGAGCATCTGACACTTATGTTTAACCTTGGTTTGGTGCCGAAATAAATGTGATGAAATTGTAGCCAGAAGTTTGTTTCACTCGTGTTGTGCAATCACCACCACCATGAGAAATGTACTTCGTCAGTGCTATGACGTCAAAAGCTGAACAAATAAACACTGATATTTTCATTGCCGTTATTGTTTGGCAGTGTTATCTGTAAAACATGGCACAAATGACAGTTCAGCTCCAGGGTTTATCCGATAAATGTTGCATGGTCCATGGATGCAATTTGCAACCACATTTTTCTCTCAGGCAACCAAATCTTAACCAGCAGTTGTCTGACAATGAAACTGATTCCATCTTGAATATTTTTCATTTATTGTATGTTTTACAGTGTGTTCTATGACAATGACTCCTTTTGGTAAATATGCACAATAGTTGTTTGTGTTGATTATAAGATAGCAGTAAAATATTGATATATATTACATTTTTTTTTANCACATAGTACAATGTACTACAGAAAGGGACCATTCCCAGACCCTATCGTACTAACTGTGGATCGATCTTTCTCCAATGCAATTCTTGCTAAATTGCAATCTACTTAAGCTGCTTAAATGTCTGTGACAGCCATGCCTACTGAATCTGCTAGGAAGTAATTAATTTTCATTTAACAGCTTCAGTAAGTGTGCTAGCAAGAAACCCCTTGGAGATGGATCGATCCTGTTACATCGGTCTACGTATGGGAACCCAGTCAAAGAAATTATAATTGGGCTGAGCAGACTCTTAATCAGTACATGTTCTAGGGCCAGAGTGGCCCTGACCAGCCCACCAGACATAACTAATAAAATGTCAGGGAAATGGCCTCCATTACTATGGTATACTTGGCCATACACCATACACTGTTATAACAATCCTCCCAAAATTAACTGAAAACTGGATGCTTTTAGTACTATCCGGCAGCATACTGTACCTTGTCAAATGACTGCCAATGAAGGCACCTGTTCCAACCAATTTATCAAAACAACCAATCAAACTCCATGTTACAAATACACAACTCTTCCTCTCCTCTTACCCGACTGCTTTTATCCTAAAATTTTCTTCGTCAAATTCAGTTATTTTTATTTTCTGGAAAGAAGAAATTAAACATTTAGCATGAATAAAGACAATTTGTTTACTAGTACACTGATATTTATTCATAACTTTCAAAATATTTCTCCAGAGATGACTCGAATATATCATAAAGAACGTATTACATATTATATATCATTTTTACCATTTTATACTCTGTTTTATCTTTCTGCATGAAGTAAGAGTTTTGGAAGATGGGTTTTTGAATGCCTACTTTGGGAAAATATAATGAAATAAGATACATAGTTTTTACTTAATAAACAATAACAAACAATTCAAGACTTGTTCTGGAATGTCACCCCTCAACTCACTCTAGCTATAAAAAATGGCTCTGCAGAGAAGAGAAAGAGCCACTCATCCAAGAAGTGAAACAACAGGCTTTCTATATCTTCACCTGAAATATATACCAATATAATAGCATGACAAAAGAAGTGAAACAACAGACTTTCCATATCTTCACTTGAAATATATACCAATGTATAATAGCATGACAAAAATAATACACCTTTGATCTTCACTGATCTACAGAATAATTCAGTCATCACATAATCTTAATTAAAAGAATGAAATGGTCTTATTAATGGCCACACACTATCCAAAAACTGTTTTTCCATGTTGTCAAGCCAGGTAAGTCGCCCAAAAGATGATAAACTTAATTAAAAGATTAAAATAGTGTTTAATATGCATGCTATGCATTATCTTGAAACTGACCGCAAATTGTCTTTTATGTTGTCAAGTCAGGGCATTCAACCAAAAGATGATGAAAAATTAACAACATACAAGAGGGGCTCAGATTTGGTCTACACTCATATCAGAAATCTGGCACTACAGTGTAATTTCTTCAAGTTTTTATTTTTCTGTGTGGTTGTTCCTTATCCTGTGCCTCTATACACTGCATATACAGAAAATATACGAGAGTCACAAAACTACCCTACACAGAGATCTGGTTTTTATTTTCTGTACAGTCATTCCTTACCTTGTGCTTCTATAGATTGCTTGTCTAGCATTTCAACATATTCTATTTCTGTCATATAACCAAACATCGCCATGGCAACCTGAATTAAAGAATGATTTATATGAGAGGTTCAATTTATCAAAGTCACAAACGAGCTGTGGATTACACTCAGTCAAATATTTAATTAACAATATCAGCTGGGATTAAGTTGGTTGAGGCATCAGCTTGACACGTGAATTATCAAAATGTGAGAAATCAATAAATACTGAAGATCTTTGAAGGACTTTGGTTTCACCCTCTTCAGCATATTCTAACATATATGAACTTATTTGGTGGGTGATAAAAGCTCCCTAACTCCTCCCTCTGTACTGCCTTACCTGTTCAAATGCCTCCTTGATGTCATCTCCCCAAGAGTGAAGCCTAAAATAAACAAAATAAACAACATTAAGGAATATTAACTGTATGTGAAACACTTATTAAGTTAACTTTATGTTTTAACATAAAAAATGCAGTGCTAGCTGGTCTGCACTTATCATAAAATTGCAGCACAAATCAAGTTAATAGAAGTGGGTAACTATAAGAACCAGAGCTTCAGAAATTAGTTCTTCATCAAAATTTAAATCCGTTACTGCTTTTTAAAATATATACCCAATACTGTCTACCAAATATTAGGCTTCATTCACATGCAATGTCTATTTTCTTAATTTTATTTTCTATTCGCGGTATGTCTTATGATCACGGTCTGTGCCCTGAATATCCCGCGGCGTAATTACTTGCAGCGCAAGCCAGTTACTATAAGTTACTTTAAATAACTGGCTCGCGCTGCCAGTAATTACGCCGCGGGATATTCAGGGCACAGACCATGATCATAAGATACCGAGAATAGAAAATAGATTTTTAGACAATAGACTTTCCATGTGAACGAAGCCTTAGTGTGAGATTGTACGTAATATTAAGAAAATGGGTGGAAAACTGACTGTGACATATACTTACTGGACATCTGCAGTGTGGTCCAAGTCTGAAAAAAATTGGACACAATATTAGTCATTACCTCTACTACTACAGTACTATATAATGTTAACGTTTATACTTCGTTAGACTCACTTTGTTAACTTTCACTCAGTCTAAATTTATGGTTATAAATGTTTGCCAACACAGCACATGTTACCATGTACCTAATAATTTACTTGAGTTTTATAAATATATACTACCAAAAATCCTAATGTGTACAGAAGCAATATCAGGCATAGTTGCCACATTCTCAAAGCTCACAGTGAACAACTTTTTAAAAGTAACACTCTCGGCAGAGAGAGGGGGCATTAACTGAACTTGTCGCGATCGAGTGATCGGCCTACATGCTAAACGTGGGACCGTGGCCTAACATTGATCGTTTCTTGTTCCTTGTGTGGAACTTCTCTGGGTTGTCATTCAAACAACAGTAAGCCAGTTAATAAACTGTACTCACATTCATACTTCACTTCAGCCGGCGGTTTTTGAAATTCTGGGTCGTCTTGATCCCCCTCCATCTTGGGATTTCCCTTGTATTTGTATCACGTGGTAGGTTGTGTCCAATCACAGGCGAGGGAATCCCCTTGGTAAAATGGCGGTCTCGTTGAGTGAGTCTTTTTCTAGTTACGACGGAGAAGAAGACGCGATTATTCGCATTCAGGTGAGCGAGGATCGACTGTTACGTGCAAACTGAATGTTTTATGTCAGTAGCGTCTCCACAGGAGCATCTGACACTTATGTTTAACCTTGGTTTGGTGCCGAAATAAATGTGATGAAATTGTAGCCAGAAGTTTGTTTCACTCGTGTTGTGCAATCACCACCACCATGAGAAATGTACTTCGTCAGTGCTATGACGTCAAAAGCTGAACAAATAAACACTGATATTTTCATTGCCGTTATTGTTTGGCAGTGTTATCTGTAAAACATGGCACAAATGACAGTTCAGCTCCAGGGTTTATCCGATAAATGTTGCATGGTCCATGGATGCAATTTGCAACCACATTTTTCTCTCAGGCAACCAAATCTTAACCAGCAGTTGTCTGACAATGAAACTGATTCCATCTTGAATATTTTTCATTTATTGTATGTTTTACAGTGTGTTCTATGACAATGACTCCTTTTGGTAAATATGCACAATAGTTGTTTGTGTTGATTATAAGATAGCAGTAAAATATTGATATATATTACATTTTTTTTTACTAGTAGTTGGTATTCTTTCTTCTTTAAAAAAAAAAGGCAGTGAAAGTGGCATAATATTTTATCTGGAATTCTTTTTGAATCTGGAGTATCAGTTACAAAATAATCGTATTTCATTGTATGTACTACTTGTAAGACTTGAGTCAATTAAAATAGTGCTTGGTTTTTCCATGTTGAGTGTCGGGGGGGGGGGGGGTTCTTAATTTGTTTTGGGAGTGTTCCTTTCTTTCTGCTAATTATTGCTTTCAAGTATGAATGTGTCCTGTTCTCTTTCCAGGCCTTCCTCAGGGGAACATTGACCAGGAAATCTCTGCAAGAAGTTCAGAAAGAGTACGAGTCCATTGTAGCAGAGGTGGAGGACGATGATTACAGAACTCACGTAGACTGGAAATGTCATCATCTTTGTCTACCTCTGGTTCACAGAGAGGGAAAGGGGCGATGTGTGAGACCTCCCACGCTGCCCAGATTGTCTCATGATAATACAAATAATATGGGATCACATTTGCTCGTGAAAACTCCAGAAAAACCTGCTCAAGCAAGATGCTCTCAAGGTCAAAATGTTGACCCTTCTGGTGGAAGAAATGGCACAGGTGAAACTGAAAACTTCCATGTGAAGAGTGACAAGAAAGATAGGGAATGTTTTAGAGAAGACAATAGGTCGCAATTGTCAAAGCTTGGAATTCAAGTTGAAAGTGAATCATCTCCCAATACATTGACCTTACATGGAAATTCTAAAGGTAACTATGACAGTCCAGATGATGTACCAGAACACCCATTTGAAGATGACACTGTCTCTGGAGGTGAAAGTCAAGGTCATCTAGAGCCTCTTGTCTGCGACATACTGGCCTCTCTTTCAGCTGACAGTGAAGACAGCGACACAGACCCTGTACAGCAGAACAGATCATTACACAGGAGTAATCCAGGTCATCCAAGGAACAATGAGGCATTTCCTCAGGACACAGATATCACTGTGACAGTTCCACCCAGTACTGGGCAGGAAGCATACACTACACGAGAAAATGACATGGACGTGTCAGAGGCCGAAAAACATGAAACAGAAAATTGCAGAGAAATTGGAGCAAAAGTCTCCAAAGATTTAGGGAATACTTCGAATGGGTCTCCCTTCAAAAAAGATAAAATCCGTGCTGCCAAAGAACAAACTAAATTAAAGGATCAGGAACCATCAGGGACAAAATTGACACCAACATCTCAAATAAATGGCGCAGTCAGTCCCCCTGCCTCTCCATTTCCTGTGAGAGAAGAGATAGCTAACCAACCACGACGAGACTATCAACTGAACAGCCAATCACCATCTGGTTTACATCCTGGCAGGGAGGAGACAGCTGACCAATCAAGACAAGCCTATCAACTGAACAGCCAATCACCATCTGGTTTACATCCTGGCAGGGAGGAGACAGCTGACCAATCAAGACAAGCCTATCAACTGAACAGCCAATCACCATCTGGTTTACATCCAGGGAGGAGGTCCAAGGGCCCCCATGACAGCAGTGCGGTCAGTGAGATGACTTCAGTGTGGGACACTATGCTCTCCATGGAAGGTAAAATAAAACTTCTCTGTTAACTATTTTATTAACACCCCCCCTCCTCCTCTCCTCCTCCTCTCCTCCTCCTCCCCTCCTCCTCTCATCAACACTTACCTACACCCAGACTCTGTGTTTATGACAGTTAAGTTAGTCAGTGCCATTATTGCCTTGATTATTTTCTTAAGAAAATTATAAGTCTATCACTGTTGTCCTGGTAATCAACCAGAGCGGGTTGGGAGGGTTCTGGTGGTGAAGAAGATAGCCAGGATGTCTCTGTTCCTTCTTTCAACAACATGGTCAGTCATGATGATATAGAAATTGTTAACTTTCCATATTAATTGTAAGACAACAGATGTTGAAAACTGGATACATAATTGCCATGGTAACAGTTGTTAATGGTTATGTTTCAGAAGCAGCATTAGTCAGTACAGAGTATCCCAGAGATGTGAAGTCATTACAAGAACTGAGGAGTAACGTCGCCATGGAACTGCTGTGGGTGCAGCAGGCGATAGAGAGCAGGAAAAATGTACGTAGAGCTACGTAGCGAGTGTCTTGACTCTGGCTGAGTGAATACTGTAATGTCTCCATCTTTTTATTGGGGAAAATTATGAATTTTGCAGATACTATTGAGTCATACTGTTAAGTCATAAATTCTTAGAGTTAGAACATTCATGTTGAATGTAAGCAATAAAACTGAAAGACAGGCTACCTTTTAGTTCTGTTCTGTAGTTTAAACACTAAAATTCTTTACAGAATATAATTTTGTATGATTTCAAAGTTATGTATCTATAATCTGAGATTTACAATTTTTCCCGAATTGAAAGATCCAATCTTAATTGTAGTTAAAACTTTTGTATGCCAAAATTTTGTATGCTGTTTTAATTTATGTTTGTTGCTTCTTGCTTCATGGTTTTGTCTCAGGTGTTGTTTTTCTCTAAATACTTTCTTTAAAGTTTATGATATACACTACTCTGTTTTTACATCCAAAACATGGGTGCACAAGTTCTAAAAGCAAAGAGTTGATGGCAAATATTGCTGCTTTTAACATATTTATGCCTGTAATGTCAGAACTCTAGAATGAAGACTGAAGATATTTCTATTTTATATCCTTTTTTTATGTCTGTAATTTCAGTATCTGAGACTGAAGACAAAGATGCAGGACCAGAGCAGCTGATGTCAGATGTCAGGGGTCATGTTTGGAGCTGCAGAGTTGCAGGGTTCTGTGTTTACAGAAAAAAAAAGCATGTCGTGTTCAAAGCAATAAGTCGGCTTGTTGCTGAATTGTGAATTCAAAGGTTAAAAACCCAGGACTCTAATTTTCTGCTTTAGACATGAAAATCAAATATTCCAGACCACAAACATCTTTTTTTTATGTGCAGAATTACTGTAAGTATCCAAACTGAAGATAAACTCAGATTATCTCAGATAAATATTCACTGTATATCATTTATTCTAAATATGTACACCATCTGTCGCAACACAGAGCTAGTATTTTACACAATAATATACACTTGAGATGTGAAGAAGTCTGAAAAATATATTATTTCTATTGCAAACTTTCATCACAACAACATTAAATGCTGTCAGTGAAAACTCTTGGACAAGGAAAAAGTCCTGGCTCAAGATGCCTTAAGTTTATATGTTTTCAAAAAATAAAGTGTAAATTAAGAACCAATTGCTATATTTTCTTGCAATATCAGTGTTTTATGATTCATTTCAATAATGATACACTGTCTTTTTCTTTAATTCTCCTCCATGAACAATACTACACAATCTTCAACCCATAAAGAACAATCTCAGCAGCATGCCAATAGTATTTTCCACATTTTTCTTGTTAAAAAGTTTTTAGCCTAGTAGAGTTGTTGAGGTCCTATTTACGTGCTCTCAAAAAAAGTTCTGAAGTCCTCTAAGCTTATCTTGCCCTCGGCATCTCTTGTACACTGCGCCACCAACTGGAAAGATTGAAAGAAACGATTAAGAATGGAAATGTAAAAATTACATTTATTTTAGGGGGGGGGGGAGCTAATAATTTTATTACGTTTCAAAGATATAAAAGTGAAAAAAGAAAAAGGCAAGATAGCTCTGCTACAGTAAATGATGAAATATTAGACTTCTGGATGAAATGCAAATTTAAATTCTTGGAGTAATATCAAAGATGGAGTAAAAAGTTTGTCATTTTTTTTCTTGAGATCATACTCCATTTCCCATCATGTCACAATTAACTTGTGACATCACAGTCAACAATGACATCACAGTCAACACTATGACATCACAATTAACTTCTGACATCACAGTCAGCACTATGACATAATAATGAAACTTACCGCATCCATGACATCATCATCCAGTGGCAGCTGTATCTGTTTGCAGATGTACTTCAGCTTGTCTTTGTCAATGTAGCCAGATCTGTCTGTGTCGTACTTCAGGAACAGGTCGTCTATCCTCTGACGGCCTGTGATGGCGATCTTCTTCAGCTGAGCTTTCACCTCACGCACTAGATTCTCCAAGTCTCCAGGACTGTGAAAACAGATACAGACAGTTGTAATAAACGTCTTTGTTATGGTTTTGAAACTTATGTTTTTCATAAATTTGAACCATGTGAGAAATAGTTCTGTGAATACAACTAGTCCTCTAGTTGTCTTAGTAATGATGGTTATAAATGACACCCCAGGAAACCTTTCCCCATTGTTTCTCTTGATATATCTACTACATCACTCAAGCTAACAGAGAAGTCCTGTATACCACAGAAAGAAGTCTAACCTATCAGATAAAGTACTATATATACCACAGAATGAAGTCTAACCTATCAGATAAAGTAAATGGACTACTTACGCCCTCTTCACCCTCATGTCTCCTCCCTTGACTGTCTCCTGGGCGCTGGCTCCCTTCCCCAGGGTCGCCCTCAGGGAGTTGATGGTTGTCTCTGGAAGTACATGGGCAAACATGAATACAAAATGCCTGCACAAGTCCTGATATGTAATATGTACTTCAGTGACAAGTTATCTTTGTACAATTACCAAAATGGAATTGAGAAAATTGATTTAACAGAAGCATTCAGAGACATTACAATTTTTTTTCTCTCTCCATTTTTATGGAGAATTTCAGAATGGGGGCACCCCCCTCTTGTGTTTCAGTATTTTTTTTTTTTCGCTTTTTCAAAACAAGTGAGCATAAAAACAAAGATAATATTTTGAATTTCACAGTTTAGCATGAGCTGCTGACTTACCAGGGAACTGACTGGAGTGTTCTTCCATATACTTCAGCACGTACTCGTCAGCGTTTGTGATCACAAAGCGGTGTTTGAACACCTCGATGGTGGACCCAAGGCAGAGGTCAGCAGGACCATAATACACAGGACGGTCAGGGGTACTGTTGGGTTTGGCAACTCGTGTACGTTCCAGGAATTTTCCTCCAATAATCCCAGAATTCCTCACTGGGGGTTCGTAGATGGTCATCATGTCATCTGCTAGGCGGTAGGAAAGAATGAACCGCCGTCCCTTGTCTTCTGGCTTCACAGAGTCCTAAATTGTAGAAAACAAGGTATGATTATGTCTTCAGTTCAGTGTGGAGGTTTTTATAATGTCTTAACTTCTGAGATTGGTTTCTGTTAAAAAGATACATGGTACTCAGGCATTTAAAAGAATTTTATTTCTTTTTCTTTTTCAAAATCCTTATTACACAGAAGTTTCATTCAATTTTGCCAGTCTTCATAAAAGAAAACAAAAATATTCTCATTGTGGAGACCAGCAAGAAATGCCTTTAAAGTGGTCTTTGAATATTCCTCACCAGTATTGCCTCAAATCTGAGCACTTTGTGGTCATTCTCCAACATTTTGATGAAATCTTTCTTGGGCGGCTGTGGAATGAGAGACAGACAAGATTGCAGGGAGTCTTCCAGGGAACCAAACTGGTTGTATGGCGGGATTTCCTGGAATGAGATAGACATGTATGTTAGTCATAATACAAGATCTTCTACTTTTTCCACAACGGCATGCCATTCAATTGAACAAGTGTCACATCAACAAGACCAATTCAGAAATCTCACACGACCCATTTGGCAAAGATTACAATTATAACATTTTGATAAAAGAAGTACGACAAACAGAAGCTCACCATTTTGGGTACATCCTTGGCTCTTCCCTTCACGTCCACCGTGGGGAAGTCAGAGATCCCAAAGTTTTGGTAGAAGAAGGCTTTGGTGAAGTTATCACAGTCGTAGATCAGGAAACGCCTGCCGTAGATGTACACTGTCTCACCGATCATGAAGTCACGGGGCGTGAAATACTCCTTGATCTCATTATTGGTCAGCTCCATGACAACACCAGGGAAAGAGGATTCCACGTTGTAGCGATCTTTAGGGACCTTGTGGCGTCCAATCAGGACAGGGAATGGGTCACGTCCATCATTGGGTTCTCTTACCTCGCGTATCTCCAGGGTGTCATCCACTAGATAATACTGGACATAGAGCGAGAAAGAGTCATGTTAAAACTTTATTTGAGATCACTATTAAGACACTTATCCATATTTAATTTCGACACTTTATTTCAAAAGCCCTAACTTTTCCAATATATAATGTCTGTGTTTTATTTTCTTAAATCTTACAATTAAAAAAAGTCTTTATTGTTTTATGTAGAGATACATATCAATTGAGTACTATATCTGTTTTTAACTCACATGTAAAATGAAAGGTCTCATCTGTCCAAACATGCTGTCCCTGTCGTCCCAAGCACAGAAGAAGCGGAGAACTTTGCGATCAAGTTCCAGAAACTGTTTAAGTTTGTCAAAGGATGAGGGTGTTTCATAGGTTCGTAGTTCAGCACGTACTCTGCGCTCCTCCGTGTAAGGATCCAGAGGCAGCTGCTCAGGTTCATTCACCACGATGCCTTCACTGTCTAAGAAGTCCTATTGAAGAAGAGAATTTAGAAAAACAATTATAATATGTCTAAAACTATGAAAACTAAAATGGTATATGAGGTACCAATGATTATGATGTAAAGATGATTGAGTAAAAAAATCATTATTGTTATTGGAAATTTCTCTATATTAAAAATCATCTTGAAATTGAGAAGAAATAAAGTTGGAGAAAATAATTAATAACTTTGAAATTTATTTTATATTTTAAAATATAATTTAACTCACAAAAATACCAATATTTTATTTGTTCAACTTTCCAATCTGGTATTATGCATTTTTAAATCACAACCCAAGCTGAGAGAAGCAGAGTGAAGATGACAACATACCCTTGTCCATTGATCACAGTCTGTGATGTGGAAAACTTTGCCGTAGAACGTGATATTCTGGCCAAGGTTGATATCTTTCCAGTGCCAGTTGTCTCCCTGGTCATTCTTTGGCAGCCGCTGGCGTTTGATCAGTTTGCCTGGAAGCAAAGAAATACTTCAGATAATTTCAATAAGTTTAAGCCCATATAAAAAGGAAGGTAAAATGTTTCACTGACAAATCTAAAAATCATTTAACTTTGATAATAATTATAATGATATCTTTATCTCTTAGTTTAACCTGATTTTCACAATCTTCCATCCAAATTATAATATATCTGTAATTTAAATGTTTAACTAATTACAAACCTTGTGGCATTCCACTGTTCTCTACATGAGGTTCCACCACGGAGATGCTGTCATCTTCCAGGTAATAGTAGATGTTGACTGGACGCACACGGAAATATTCTCCCGGGGATTCATGGACGGTCTGCTTGAAGTAACCTCTGAACAGCAATACCTGTAAAAAGTATTTGTGAAATAATCAAATAATTATTGTGTTTCAAATTAGTATTTTACATCAAATACAAGAAAATATATGGGATATATTATAAGCATATCACTTGCTGTTTCTGAAGAAGGTCAAGTTTTTTATTTTATTTATTTATTAATTTTATTATTTAGGTAAGGTGAATTTAATTTCGACCCATTTTATCTTCCTGCTGATAACGAACTTAAGTTTCCATAACCTTTGTCTTAATCAAAATACAATGACTGTTGTTGATAACATACATGTAGAAAGTTATGTTACCTTTTTGTCCCAAGCTACATGAGCTGGTACAAAGTCAGATGGTGGTGCTTGTTTTGCCTGGCCATAGGTTAGTGTTGGTTTGAAGTTGGCCAGCTCATCAAGTTCTTCCTCTGAGAGTTGGTTCTTAGGCAAAGGAACTCCACCAACTCCCAGCTCTGGCCTCTTTTGTAGGGCATAGCCATTTTGGTAACCAAGAGTATGGGGTAAGTGATATCTTGACTTCTGCAAAAAGAATCATTAAAGTCTAAATAAAATACCAAACCACACTAAATATTTACGTCCCGTCAAGTGATTATAATAATAATAATTATAGGTTTTTAATTCTATGGCAATCACATATATAATTATCATAGCCAGTTCAGGCTCAGCATTTTTTAATTTAGTCTGAATAAATGTCATGCCACTGCCAAAAACTGAGAAGAGGACGTTGTCGTCAATATTCTGATATGGTCTATGACATCTTGGCTGAATTGTAGTGTAGTATCTCTAACATTTTAAAAACTTTTGTGCTGCCAACGTTGTCAAATATCCGAGGCGTCATTCATCACTGAAAATCAAAATTTACTTACTGCTGGATCAGAAAAACTATTTCCAGGTAAAAATGGTAAACCTTCCATTCTGTGTTTTGACGAAATTTCTCCTAGCTGCTTCTTAATCCAATGAGTTGATGTATATTGATTGAAAGAACGGCTGTGTGGTGGGTTACTATGGGTTGCTATGTAAACAAATGCGATCTCGCACCAAGCGAGAGTTTTGTCAAGACAGGCCAAACTTTATGCTAACTAACCATAATATATATTGCTTAGTGTTAACCTCCATGCTTAGAAAACATTGAAAAGGAAAATTTTTAATTAAACATGCATTCAACATTGTTTCTTTTCAATAAGCAGTCTTTATTTTTGAGGCTGTCCTGTTTGTCGCCCCTAGTGTGAATAATTTAATCTGGTCTCCAGCTTACGGAGAGTTGTCAATGCGGGAAGGCGGAATCTAGTCATTTGTCGCAGAGAGCGTTGATTTTTTCCTGCACCTCGATGGAAGCATAGAGACAAGGGACAATTTGGGAGGACATGGCACTCGTACGTACGAATTTATTTTGTTTAAGATTGGCCGTGAATAGCTAAGATATCTAGCTCATTATTATATAGTACCCGTCCAACATCTCGGCTCATATCAGTGAGTCATTACATTATATTTGCATGAAGCCGAAAAGTGCAGTGACAGTTGGGAATTATATAATTAATGCCTCCTTAATGTTAGCACGTTGTACAGCTAAGCGTGACCTTACTGCAATACCTCTTAATAGTTATCTTCTCGGATACTAATGTAATGGGTCATTTTGAGGTTGATTAAGATAGCTTGCTCTTCCTGTTCTCTCTCGTGGTCTGCTTGACTGTTTCAAAATGCCATTAATATAGTCATTAGTTGATTATATTCATTTTAAGATTTTTTTTATTATAAAGTGAATGTATGGAGTTAATGAGATATATATTTGTAATATTTTGATCATCAGGATATGAAAAATGAAACAACTGTTTAAAATTTATGATAAATCAGGAAATTTTATTTTTAATGTATTTCATACAAAAGCCCCATAAGTGTTCCCCTATAGTATACTGCCATCATTAACATTGTGTTTCATCACTGATCGTTTGTTCAGAGTACAGCAAACAAGCACTGTTTGTGTATTGATTAGTGATGAGTCTGAAATCAGCAGCAATCACCATTCCTTGTCCTGAATAATGAAATATATCTTATGTGCTGTGGTCTTTATGATAGTAATGTGATTTTATTGCCTCCTCTGTTAATAGGTAAAACTCTAAATTGGTAACATTTGAAGCCTTATTTCAGTAAAAAGACATTATAGTCTCTAGCCACTCCAGTGTGGAGCTGCTGTAAGGTAATGATGCATGTAGTCATTTGATTACAATCATATCCTGCCAGAAATCAATGCTCAGTGTTATGAGACACAGCATCCACTCACAGTTCTGTAGACATGCTACGTACAGTAATTAAACAGCAAATTGAAAAAAAAAAGATTTATTACATTTCTCAGAACATTGGTATGCTATACCTGAACAGAGAACTTGTAAGTTAAGAAGTTCAGTCAGATAGTGGATTTTTGAGAGAATGGGAGGTCAGCAAACGTGGGCGTGGTCCAGAGAAGATTGATATATTGCAACAATTCAAACAGACCTTGTAAATAAGAACAAATGACAACACAGAAACAATACGTCCAAAGAGGAATTAGTTTAAAAATGGAGCCATTTTGCATCAAGAAGATAGGAAAATTTACGAAACTTAAGGAGTATATAATTGCTACTAATACATGTCAAGTGCAATTCTAAAGATCTTTTAAATATACAGAACACACAGTTATTTTCACTGTCAACTATTTGAATTTTTTCTTGATCAGTAAAAACCTGCCCCCCCCCAAACTGGAGAGCAAGATACTAGTAGAAGGCTATCAAACATATACTAGTCGACACATTGCTCACAGGAGACTGGTGCTTTATCAGGGGGCTGCCAAATTTGCTGTAATGTTCTTTTACAGTAGTCATCTTAGTATCTTAAGTAAAGAATTGAGCCATAGTTTTGTATTCTAATATCATACTTGGATAAATGATCTGTAGTGTGTAATCTAATTGAAGGTATGGTAGCAGTGATAATGGCCTGTTACAGGAATGTGTGATGATGCATCTACTGAACAATGTCAGTGGCAAGTTTTAAGGGGGGGATGCCAGAGGGATCCTGATGCACTCCCTTCGATTTCTGAAAAAAATCACACCAATGGTCCCTGCTTGAAATTAGATTTTTTACTAGCTGAATTATAGTTATAAACCATACTAAATGGCACCGTTTGCCCTCTTAAACCAAAAATTTTCGGGACCCCAAAACCCATGTAAAGGGGGGAG